CCCCGGGAGGAAGCGGAGCCGTGGCGGAGGCCCGACGCCGTCTCCATGGCGACCGGCGGCGCCCCGGAGCTGCGTGGCTCAGTAAGTGAGGGCCCCGGCCGCCCTCCAGCGCTCGTTCCCGGCCCGGTACGAGCGGGAACACCTTTTCACCCTCACTTTCCCCTCAGGGATTCCATCTCCAGGTGCGAGAAGACACCGGGGTCCACCTTCCCCTCCCTCGCTACGCGGGCGTCCGGTCCGCCCGACACCCCCTCTCCCCTCAGGGACTCCACATCCAGGCGCGGGAGGACCCGGGGGCACGGCGCTCACTTTGCCTTCCCTCTTTGCGGGCCTCCCCCCCCGTGCCACCCCGGGGTCAGAGCTTGGCTCCGCCACCGGGGCACCGCGGGCCCGCCGGCGCCCCGGGGATCGGCTCCGGCATACGGTCGACCCACGGCGTCGGGTTCTCTCTGCCCGGCTGCTCCGGGCAGCGTGTGTCTGGGGAGAAAACCGCGGGCGTAAACGTGACTATCCTGCCTCCTGCTCGCCTCCCTTACAAGTTGTCCCGACCCAGAGAGCGGAGTAAGAGGACGGTTTCTTTCTAGAAAGTACTTGTCCTAAAGGGGAAGGAAGAACATTCTCTTAATGAAAAAAATCAACTCGAGGGAGCAGATTTTTAATGATGTAAAGGCGTTTCCTCTTAAAAAAAAAAAAGCTTAGGTTGGTGCTGTAGCCTTCAGTTTCTGTAATGTCAGTCGATTCCCTTTAGCAAAATCCCTAAATACTAGTTTAGACAAACTCAGTTCACACTATACCTTTCAATGCGTAGCATACTTCTTTAAACACTTTAAATACTTTAAATATAAATATTAATAAGTATTGAAACACTTTAAATGCAGTATACTTCTTTTGACAATATTTTTGTGCAGCATGTTAGAATTAAAGCAACTTTTTGTCATTTTTCATACCCTTTGAACTGAACTGGCAGCAGCCAGGCTGTACACGCATTAGTGGGAAGAACTGGGGGTGTTGTTCTTGGCATATTGTTCCCATTAACTACCAGTGCAGGAAGGGTGTGGGACAATTGGGGCTGAAAAATATACATAGAGAATTTATTTAAATTTTAACATGGATGGTAGAGAAGCAAGAGACTTTCTGGGTAGGTGAAAAAAACATCTAATCTACAAAACTACTCAGGACCTGTGCATCAGTCTGATTTTTGTCTATCCTGGTCATCAATGGCTCTACAAAATAGTCCAGTAGGTTAGTATTTTGCCCTTTTCTGCACTTTTGCAGGTGAGGTCAAAGTTGTAAGATGAGTGTCCATAGCTGTCAAAGGGGAGAGAGACTTGTCTTTGCACTTGGGCAGTACATGTATGAGCCCTGGAACAATCCAACTTCCTCTGTCAACGCAGTGTTAACTTCTGCAGCACCAGTGTGAGTAATTATATATTTCACTGAAATCATTGAATTATAGATGAGATGTATCAAGTGTGAGCTAATTTACATAGTCCCTTTTGAAATTAGTACTTACCTCTCAGGCAAAGTTACAGGACTGTTCTGAGTCCAGTATGTTGTCTGACTGTCAATATTAAAAGATGGAAAATTCCTCACTTGTGAGGCGCCTGCTTCAACAGCTAATCATCCTACTGTTAAAAATCATCACTTCTATTCCCAGCCATCAATTCTTCTTACACCTTTCGCCTTAAACTGTGGTGTTTTAGCATCTGATATATACCGATGTAAACAAGCACTGAATATTTCTTTAGTTTTGATGAATTTAAGAGATTGAGCATGTTTAAGTCATACACAAATAGATATTTTGTCTTAAATCATTTTTGTAGTTGTTCTTAATTTTTCCAACTTTTAAATGTGGCAATTAATAAGATTAATTAATGTGTCAGTTAATAATACAATATTTCACTATGGGGTCTCACTGGCACTCCTGGCATACTGTTTTCACTCTGACTTTTTAAGTCAGTACAGTGATAAGAAATTTTCAGATGAAGTTTTCTGTCAGAGCTATAGTAGACAGCTGACTCAAAAGAATGGTGTAAGTGAAAATTCTGAATGCTGTCTCTTGGGAACAATTGTTATGTCCATGAAAGATAAAACAATTTGTTCAACCTTGAAAAATGTTGGGCTTTTTTTAATCTATATATCAAAAATCCTTGGAAGAGATAGGATAATTTAAAACGGATTAATTTTTTTTTTCCTTTTTTTTTAAGAGAAAGGTGTCAGAGATCTGAATGTTAAGTTCTTCCAGAATTTGTTTTAATTGGGTCAGATTTGTCAACAGTAAAAAGACAACCAAAGTTTTGTCTCCCAGGAGATGTGGGTATGATAGACTAAATGTCATAATGATGTGAACAAATGAGATGTAACATGCACTGAAAATATATGTTTTCCATTAAATTTCCACAAAAATGATTGAAAACGTCTTGGGAGTTATTTAAGCAATTTACAATATTGTTTAAAAAGGTACATCTGGGCACACTGAGTACAGTCTTTTGTCGTTCATTAGCAATGTATTTAATGAGGGTTTTTTTAAGTGATAGATAGTTAAGGTAACAGACAAGTGACAGATTGTTTGTCTTTAACGATTTCCCTATTTCAGGCCCATTACAAAGCAATTAGAAACCTGACAGCATTTTTACTCTGCATTACTGATCATCTAAAGTGATGAGAAATGAGAGGTGATGAATATTAATTGTATATTTTCATATAATTATCATAAATTATTACCTTGTCTAGTGTGCTGCAGGTGGAGTAAAATCAATGGATGAAAATTCAGTTAAATATGATAATTTGAAAGATTTCATGACTTAGTTTTTGTCTTTAAAGTGCAGTGTCAATCAGTCTAAACTAGGCATAGATTAACTGAGGGAAAGACAAAGATACTCATACCTTTCCTCGCTTTGCTAGCACTGATCAGCATGGCATTTACTCTTGTGCCCTGTGACAAATTATTTATCTCTCTTCTGTAGCCTGCCATGTTTACACTGGAGCTATATCTATGCCTCTCCAATCTTCTTCCATAAACATTTACTTAATGTTCAAACATTAAAGCAATATCAAAAGCTGTGCACTTAGCAGAACCCAGAACCAGCCATTCTTGTCTTTTTTTCACCCACTTGGTATATATGCATTGTAACATATCAGTTATTTGCATTGTGCTTTTATTCTCAGGTGACCTTTGCCTCTGCCAAAAATAAGGAGTGTTCGTATGACTTGTTTGTTTAAAGTATGGACCTTTATTCAAATTTTGTTCTGAAAATGCAGTCATCAATAACAAGCATCCATAATAAACAGACGTGACAGAATCTTACTTGTTTCCACACTTGAAGTAATAAGTCTTCATGACACTCGTATCATTGGTCTTGAAAGTTCAAAGGATATCAT